TTAAATCATTGTTCCTTGTACTACCAGACCATGACTTATAAATTAAAGTAAAAGTATACAAAGTCTGAAATTTAATCTGCCTAGTATTACTTAACCAGTAAAGATTTCAAGCATTTTAAGCCAAAATGAACAGAAACTCATACCAGACCAGTTAAAGAAGATCAACATAGGGAAATTTAGTCATAGTTGTCTAAGTAGCCTTTGTTGGCATATTAAATAAATTATAAGTTGAATATCAAAGTGCGGAACAAACAAGACTACAAAATAATAAGAATTTTATTGAACAAATTGAGAATGCCGAGACGGCTATAAAACCTTAAGAGACTACATTGTGAATAATTATTCTCTAACTAAATTACAAGCTCTATTTATAGAGAAATAAACCAAAGAAACCCTAATGCGTATATGCCAAAATACCCTACTACAAAATCAAATCAAATCTCTAATTAATTTCCTAAATAAACCTAATAAATTCCAACACCCCCTGTCAAACTCATGGCGGTACACGACATGAGTTTGCCAACAAGCAGATGTGGATGCAAGCCTCCAAATTCCGATGTCGATGCCGATGCCGATTTCCGATGCCAATTTCAATACGAAATTCCATCGGTGCAAGTGCAAGATTCCAATGCCAGTGCAAGATTTCCATGCCAGTGCAAGATTCCAATGCCAGTACCAGTGCAAATGTCGATGCCGATGCCTAACAAACAAACAAAAAATCCAACCAAATATTTTTTTTCTTCCTTCTTTCTTCCTTTTTTTCCTTCTGTGCGATTCCTTCCTTTTTTTTTTTTTACCTTCTGTGCGACCCAACATCACCAACCTCCTTCCTTTTTTTCTTCTGTGCGAACCAACATCACCAGCCTCCTTTTTTTTTTTTTTTTTTTTTCGCGAGGGTACGATTGTGGACTGATCCAGATGCAGGGTGGGGCTGGGGAATGCAGAAATCCTAGTGCGATGGATTCACCAAATTCCTTTTTTCAAAAAACAGAATTTTTTTTTTCCCTTTCTTGAAGACTACCAAGGACAAACTGAAAACCAAACAAGAAAACGTAAAAAATCTACGGACAAGACTAACACAATTTGACGGTCAATACCGAAATCCAAAGACAAAGAACATAAACAGAAATCCAAAGACAAAACGAAAAAAAACAGAGTGACCAAGAACAAAGGACATAGACCAAAGCGGAAGCGAAAGCCTAAACGAGACCCAAACTAAACCAAAAAACAAAAAGTGACAAAACAAATTGATACCAACAAGAACGGATTGAACCATAAGGATCGAACCCGCTCTGATACCAAGTTGAATATCAAAGTGCGGAACAAACAAGACTACAAAATAATAAGAATTTTATTGAACAAATTGAGAATGCCGAGACGGCTACAAAACCTTAAGAGACTACATTGTGAATAATTATTCTCTAACTAAATTACAAGCTCTATTTATAGAGCAATAAACCAAAGAAACCCTAATGCGTATATGCCAAAATACCCTACTACAAAATCAAATCAAATCTCTAATTAATTTCCTAAATAAACCTAATAAATTCCAACATTATAGACTTGATAAGAAACTGATAAGAAGATAGACTCAAATTTAGAGGTTAAAAAAACGGCCAGTCATTTTGTTTACATCTAGTCGATCTCCTTATCTGTGGCTATATTCATCATCTTTCCCTTGATTATATATGTTGCAATCGTACCCCGGCTGCATTTATCTTCAATGCTTGAGTTGGGTAGCTTTGCTTTGGAAAACATTTGATGATTAACTCTTATTTTTCCCGTATTGACATCGCCACCACGGTTTTAATGTGGTTTAGATTAAAGTTCAAAATTCTTAAATTTACGTACAATCGTTTTTGTATTTGTACAAAAGGCTGTTTTGCAAAACGTTACCAAAGCTCTACTGCATGCATGAATTACAATTTTTGCGAGTAGAAGTAGAAATTCATATTGGTCACACGATTACGAAGAAGGCTCACAGTTAATGATAATAATCCTGCTGTACAGGGTAGTATTACTAAAGTGATTTGATGAATCGACGTGTACTATCTCCTAGTCTTTTGGTAGGCTAGTCTAATGGACTTGCAAGGAAAATAATGATTTAGGTTTGGGCACAAGGCTAAGAACTAATCGTTTAGGGGTTGACATGGCTCGATTTGGTTTACTTTTACCTCAAAACTATGGACCAAACTGAAGACATGCACTCAGTTCGGTTTGATTTTAAAATCAAAGTTTGCAAGGTAAAACCAATTGTTCGCTTTGGGAAAGTTTTGGTTATCTTAATATATATTGTAGATCCTCATTGATGTGAATATGAAAAATCTTAAGCCTATAAATAGGCTATCTAATATTTTCTCCTCTCAATTCCTCTCGTGTCCGATTTGGTATCTTATATTTAATTTCTTGTTTTAAGTAGTTATGAATGTAGCTAAATTTCTTTTTTTTTTTTAGTACAATTTCGTAATATTTATTAGTGTTTCAGGAAAAAACAAATATAAATACCAAAAACCCTTGAAAGTCTGGCTACTTGATTTGGGGTCGCAACTAGTATTTTCCAAGGCTCAATTCCCCTTGGCTTCCTAACCATACGATGGGAGTTCATATGCCTCCACATGGCACTCACGGCTCCTTTGAAAATTCAACAGCTTTGATTTGACCACTCGTAATTTGTGTGTATGAAATGGTGGACGATCCTGATTCACATATTTATAACTTTTCATGAACCACATCTGTATAATTTAAAAAATTATAATTATCTCCTTTTGTTTTAGCATTTAACCTTACACATGATATATATATATATATATATAAAATAACATGATTAGCCGTAGGTGTATGTAAGTTATTCTCATAAAAATCGGAGAGACTAGCTCAACTTTTGTATCATGAAAATGTAAGAACTCCTTTGGTGGGACAAATATATCCTCAAGGCTCATGTAATTTCATCCATTTTCTACAATCCACATAATGTTTAAAAGGGAATACAATTTTATTTTAGGTTTTGGTTTAAATTTAACTATAATCAATTAAGCTACAAATCCGTTGCGATGCTTTGGCTCAAATACATAGAGAAATATTTAGTTGTGCCAATTTACCACCTGAACTCCTTTTCCCAAATTTACCTCCTCCTTCAACTAAAATATTCTAACAAATGGCTCCAAATGTCAAGATTATTAGGTTGGCTTTGTTTTGTTTAAATTGTTTTTTAAATAATTAAGAAAAGATGGAGAAATTACAATAATTTAGGGTAAAGCCGCGTTTAAAATTATCAGGTTGGCTTATTATTTGTACCCTACATAAAAAATTGGAAAAACAAATATACAGCACCTTAGTGACTAGTTTGGTACTAATTAGGACATAACAGATGTGCTAACAGATACCAAAGCATGAAAATACACCTACACCAATTTGGATTCAGATTGAAGGTACCTTCATTTTCCCCTCCCCTATTCACCTTTACAAGCATGCTGTAAAATTGGAACTTTCTTGAGTACTTTTGAGTATTCGGTACTTTGGATATTTTAATTCTTTATTTAAAAATATAAAAGTTTAAGATGTAACGGTTAAACCATTCGATACTCCGGATCACTCAAGAATTTTTGTATAAACCATGCATAATATTCGATCCCTGGCGCCCACAGTGCAAACAAATAGAAACAAGCACCAAGTAACATTTAAGTGAATCCGTCCTTATGTTAAATGTACAAATCTTAAAGATATGTAAATAAAAAGTTCACAGGACACAAAATTTAAATTCAAATTTAAGAACACGATAAAATACATAAATCTATGAAAAATGTACCACACTAATATAGTAGTGCGATTTGGATGCTCTCCTTGTATTATTTGTCAGAAAACTAGGTTCACTAGAAGAACCTCTTGATTGATTACGAAGTTAGAACTAAGTGATGCTTGCCTGTATGAAAGGTTGTTTAACAAATTCAGAAAGTCACTTGATCTTTCTATACGAGAAAGATTTCCAATTTTTCCTCAATAGTACATAGCATTGAGTGTCACAAAATATGAATGGTTGAGATTGAAAATACAAGATTCAAAAGCACCCATAGCACTGAGTGCTACGTTTCGTTGAAGCCACACCTAAAGATTTCTGCATGAAATAACTAACCAATAACATTACTTCCTTCATCATTATTTAGAAAGTTCAAAAATCTTGAAACAAATTTCTGCAGTACCTATCCTTTCACTCTTTCAACGTTTGGTTCGTCTTTGATTGTCCAAGATATTGACAAACATCGGTGTTGGACCGAATTAACTTCATTTTGATCAGCAACGCGTATTTGCATCTCTCCCTAAATGTATTGGAAAATAAAGTTTACCCACCATGAGCATGCTCTGTTTAGCAATATTGTTTTGTTTTCCCCACTTCTTAAAATCTCTCTTTCATTTTTCAAAGCCAACTTATTTGATTCTTCCTACCCTATAACCCACAACAAATTTCCAATATTCTGACAAAATATTCGTCAAAAGAGAATTTTTAAAATTTATCGTATGCAGGCAAATCAATTATTGATGAATGGAACTGGGGTAATATATACTACTTCAGAAAAATCTTGTAAAGACAATGGACTGGTGCTTAATGAGGAATAACTTTCCTCAGTCCCACACGTTTACATCAATGACTTGAGGTGAGGAGCAAATGATTGTGAACTTCATTGTCTACTGTGGAAGTAAGGAAAAGCAGAAGGAAATTAGCTCCCCATACCCTTCATATAACAAAGTTTTGTGGATAGAATTTATTTATCTAACTTGTAGAATACTGCATTCGTAGGTCAATTTGATTTGGAGGTGTTTTGGATGTGGACAGAACTAAGGGCCATTGAACCTTCCCTCCAATTTCCAACCTGCACTGGTACAATTTTTGGCTTAATCGACTAGTTTGCTGTCGTCTGTCGTCTCATAAAAGAGCAGATGATTGTTAATAACCCGTCAACTGGAACACCAGCCGTCATCTGGGACACAGTCAGATGACAGTTTCACATTGATGACAATTTAAAGATTAAATCGTTGTTCCTTGTATTACCAGACCACGAGTTATAAATTAAAGTATACAAAGTCTGAAATAGTTGATAAACCATAGAGATTTCAAGTATTTGAAGTCCAAATGAACAGCCAACTCATACCAGATCTGTTAAAGAAGATCAACATGGGGAAATTTATTCATAGTTGTTTAAGTAGCCTTTGAATTGAATACACCTTAATTTGAGAGTCAAGCAAAGTCCATCAAATTCCGGACGCAATACCCCCGCCCCCCCCCTTAGTCATTGATTTTCTGTATCATTTCAATACTACATACCATTGAATAATTTTCCCAATTTTATACCAGTAACTCAAAGCTAGCTCATGATGATTTCAACCACTTCCACAATCCACATCATATGTACAGCATAAGGAAAATGATTTAGGTACGTCTCATTTCTCCCTTCTCTCGTACATACCTGTCTATATCTGGCTTTACTTTTAAATTGAACTAATAAACTAAGTTATAAACCCCAAACGAATAAAGAAACATTTAGCTTTGTTCCAAATGTGGAGATTATATCAGGTTGGCTTATTATTTTTACTCTGTGTTTCAGATCGCTTACCAAATGATACTCCTACAGGCTGCATTCTCACTATTAAGCGCTCAATTCCGAGGGCTGGAAACGATGGCCACTCTCTCTAATGACTTTGTTCATCTGTATGTTTTCTCCAATTCTACTATGGAAGTGTTAAATATACTAGCACAATAATTCTATCTGATGTAAAGAACCGCATCTTTGTTGTTCATTATCAAACATACAAAGCAGGAACCTGCATTGTTTGACGTATTCTAGTTGTTAGTGTAGGAGAATCTAATTAGTATTCTTATGGGCTAGGTCTTGTAAATCTCAGTGGACTTAGGTTTACTTGTACATCAAGTCAATCGACCTATATATATATGTATATGTATATATGTATCCTTATGAGATCAATTGTATCAATACAATTATAATTCTACACTTTTACATTCTATAATCTATTTAGCTAGGAAGAGTGATGAGATATTGAAACAAAGATAAAGAAATAGAACCGTAATGCCAAACATACAAATCGGAAAAGCAAGTACACAACACCTTAGTGAATAGTTTTGGTACTAACTGGGATATAACAGATTCCCTCCAGGACCGGGCCAGCCTGCACTTCCGGCCCACTAATTGGCATACAATGTTCTTTCTTTTGACAAACATCGGCGTTGGACCGAACTTCATTTTGAACAACAATGCTTATTTGCATATCTCCTTAATATGTTGGCAAATAAACTTGGAAAGAAAGTGTTTACCAATCATGAGCATGCTCTGCTTCCCAATATTGTTTTGTTTATTAGAAATTGTTCCCCAATGTCTAAAATCTCTCTTTCATTTTTTCAAAGCCAACTTATTTGATTATATGACACACCCCGACCCGGAATGTCTCCTTGGACTCCGAATCGAGTTGTGTTGGCCGACACCTGGAAGGTGACGAAACCATAAAGTATAGTGATGTGGAAAAAAGTGAAGAAATTAAACCTAAAAGTGCCTAATCAAAAGAGTGTGCGGGTGAGCGGGATTGAATCCTTTTCACACGTGATGTCAGAGCATAAGACAACATAGTAAATAGGATGAGGGTTATACCACTGAAGGTAACCATCTCCTAAGATTTGCCAGAATCCTCGTATACATGTAAGCACAGTTACTAAACCTGGAGGGGCGAAAAACAAAGTTCAGTGGGTCAGCAAAACAATGCTTATACAAAAACCTTTATTTTCGAATATACTAATCATTCGCCGTAAAACAAGTATAGTTTCCTTAAAACATACTACGTAAGTATGTAAACAATAACACAACAACATTATAACCAGAAATATGCACAATCATGATATATCAAATGCCACAGTAATATAATCATGAGATAATCAATTGCTCATCAATATATGCTAGCACACGAGTCGGAATTGCCTAATGCAATTTTACCCAACAAGACTGGGTGTAATCAATACACTCTGGTACTACGATCACGTGAAGGTTGGTGCAGAAGCACGATCACATACAAGTCGGATTGCATAATGCAATGTGCCCGACATGACTAGCACCTAACTTGGATCCAATGTGAGCGAACGGTGCGAGGTGAACATACACGTGAAGGACTAGCCCTGGCCCTGGGGCGAGTACTAACACCGGTGCAGCAAGATGAGCATGTACATATATGTATGTATGTCATGACAGTAATATCCTAACCATATAGCAGCATTTATCACAATTTATCTCACAACAACGAATACTTGGCAATAAAAGCGTAAAAGTGAAGTAAATACGCAATTATGGAAACTATAAATATATACAAGTATAAAATAAATTGCCCACTCATTGATACGCAGTCGAAACGAAGCCTCTTGGCCTGGCTTAACTCCGTACGTCCCCGGAATACGTTCCCTTATACGTGAAATTACTAATTAACTTAGTTTAATAACACATAAATGGAAACTTAAATCAAACCTCCGTAGATTACTCAAACGTAGGTTTTAAATATACGAAATCGATCTACTCGACGTCACGGACCTAAACAAAATTTCAGAATGATTTTTGGTCCACTCATGCGCCACCACACGCCGCCACAAGGTGGCTGCACTGGTAGTCACGCGCGGCACGCGCCACTCAATCGGCTCCCTCACGCGCGCCCACGCGCCTTCTTCACGAAACCTGCGATTTTTGCAGGTTGCAGGCCTTACTTTCAGATCTCCAAACGAGCTCATTTCTCAACCAAAATCCGTGATTCAAAAACCAAAATAAAGTTAGGAATGCAGGGAATATATCTATGTCTATTTGGGGTCGTGCCATGGACAAAGCTCGTCGGAAAAATGGCTTGAAAGTGGCCAAATGGCCACGGTCCAAGATTTCCATACATCTAGGAATTTCTTCCCAACTTTGAAGACTAATTTCTAGTTAGATTCTTAACCATTTTCAGTGATACAAAAATGAATATTAAGCTAGAAATGTAGGGAATAGATCCATACCTACTAGAAGTCTAAACGTTAACGGTATTGATCTAAAATTTGGTCTGAAAGTTGGCCAAATGGCCACAAATCCTTGGCTGGAAAACTGAGCAATCTCCTATCCTCGAGCTTTCTGTGCTAAAACATTCGATCAAAACATGCACACGAGATCAATACCGACCCATAGGAATGAAATCAAGGTTTTTAAGATTTCCTGGGGCTTACCTAAGCAGTGAATGGACAAAACTCGTCGGAATAACTCGAGAACCATGGTGGTTCCAAGGTGCAAGGAAAGAGAAAGGAGGAGGGACCTCTTCCAGGTCAGGTTTCGAGAATAAGGGCTCTCGAGGGTGGTGAGTCCACCGGAGAATGAACCACACGGTGAAGGTGGCTCGGCGTGCTTGTGTGTATGTGTGTATGTTGCAGAGAAGAAGATAAAGCTTTCGGGGAGAGAGAGAAGAGAGAGAGTGAGTTTAAGTGCTCTGATTGGTGCCAAGTTTGAGGGAAAAGAAAGTGATTGGTTAGGATGGTTTAAGGGAGAAAGGAAAGGACGAAAGGATTTGGTGGAAAAGAAAATTGATTTGTTAGGAAGGGGGGGGGGGGAACACGAATCCACAAATCAAGGGAAGGATTTGATTTCAGATTTTTGTACAATTTTTAATGTAAAAGATATGCTTCCTTACAGTGTTTCCAACACTGTTAATTTGTACGCACGTGTACAAAAGTACTCGTGATTACGTACTTTAACGAAACGTAACTTTTTCGTTATAGATCCGTATCGGGTCTAACTCGCGTCCACGCGTTCGTAGCGACGACTACTAATTAGTACGAAACCAATAAAATGAAACTGAAAGCCGAAAACCACTTCCACGTCACACTCCACTTTTGTCCAAAAAGGGTATGACAGTCAAATTGCACCAACAAAAGAAAATTTCTATGAAAGGTTGGGACGGGTTGTCACAATCTACCCCCTTTAAGAAACTTTCGTCCCCAAAATTTGAAATCATTTGTTACACAAAACTCGAAGATAGGAAGAATAAAATATGTGTACATAACGAAGAAATTAAGTCAAAGCAGTTGCACAAAAGGGAAAATGCCATTCCGTCGCGATCGGAGTGCAATGATTCCTCTCTCATGCCTCCAACTCATACTTTCCTTCTTCTTCAGTACAATACTATAATATAATAGTTTTCGCAAAAAAATAAAACGTCTAAAATATTTATATGTACTAACATTCCGCCGAAAATACATATACATAGCAACATAAGGTTGAAGTAGTTGTACTGATTTGAAACTGAACATAGGATTTTCTCCACTACACTCTCGCGCGTCGTGTACTCTGAAAGAAGTACGTAATATCCTTGGGTCGAGCCCAAGTAATAAATAGGTAAAATACAACAAACACATAAGTACTAGGTAAGCATTAACGTAAAAGAATCTACCTATTTACTTGCTTAACGAATCCAACGAATAAGTCCTTGATATTACGGTTTGCAGCCCGTGATCTCGATAACTCATCGTTGTCATGATAAGCAAGTAACAAATTCCCAAGGGTGTAATATTACTATCATGCCCTCCATTGGGGAAATACGCAAACAACGTCTAACCAAGTCTCTACCGTGCCCACACACTAACCCTCTTTGGGTATCAACAACAATAAAGCAATTCTCTATTGTGAACTCGCACAATTTAACACTTGTTCATAAACTCCTCCGTCAAACAAGTGCTAAGCAAAGAATCTCCAAACCACATCTTAACCGTGTCACAACCAAGACCCAAAATTGTAAGTGCAGTTACAAGCAGTTCTAACAGAAATAAATGTCTAATACGATCATGTTACCACAAAAGAGCAGATAAACACAACATACCATAAAAGGTCCAAGTAAGTCGCTCAGACTAGCCGTTAGTCTGAAGGTGAAATGTAGCCGATGACAAAACTTACTACACGTGGCCTTCAAAAAGACCATCTCAATAACTAGTAGTAAAACTCGCATCACGATGAGATATAATAGTGGCACACCTGCCATGTAGTCGAGTCAACGTAGTCCACAACGCCTTAGTAAGTAATTCTATAAAGAGAAGTTCTCTCGAACTTATTGAGATAGTGACTACGTCGAGAAGGCTAAAAGAATATTCGAGACTTTGAGAATTAAAGCAAGTCCATTTAATCTAGGGTATGAGAAAGCTGGATCGAATGCAAAACATCAATTATAACAGTAGTTTTCAAGGTATCCAATCAGCACGGTAAAGATTCATTTAACCGAGTAATTGCTGGGTGATTTAGAAATTAATGGTCACAATTGCACTCCCAACATCAATGGTTTTTCTAGACAGTGCAATACGAAGTGCAATAGGGTAGACACGTACCCAAGGTTAACTAGAATACCTTCCATCACCAAGAGGTGAAAATGTTGTCCTTTTGAACCAACGAAAAGCGAATTGACTTGCCACATCAATTGATAATCACCATACATCACCAAAATCTCTACATGTACAAGAAACTCATACAAGGAGCGTATAACGATATTTTCCTATCTCTACTCAGACATAAGAAGGGATTATAACGACTTGAACAATTCTTGATCATTTGTAAGTATTGTCAAATCGATACTCACAAATCCCGATTAGAATGGGATAAGACAAGCTAAAGACGTTCAAGGGTAGATACGTCTTTTGTTGTTGTAGCAACAATATGCTTGCATGATTGGGGTAGTACACAATAATGCAATCATAGACGTTGGTTTGGTTCTTCCATTCATCGCTATAAAAAATTTAGCTCTTTCTCAGCGAAAGTGTACTCGAGAAATTTGTGATTGTGAGGTTAGTGAAGATTTGAACACGTTTCTCCACAAAGAAGTGTCATCCATCTTTCGAATAAAGATGATGACTGTTGACTTTAGGTCATGAATAAGATGGTTCGTTTCGAATGGTTCTAACCATTGGAAAATAAAAGCAATACTCTATCATGTTGCCTTTGCCCAGTCGAAACAT